CATGACCAAGTGGGATTCATCCCAGGAATGCAGGGATGGTTCAATATACGCAAATCAATTAATGTAATACACCACATCAATAGAGCCAAAGACAAAAATCACATGATCATCTCCACCAATGCAGAACAAGCCTACGATAAGGACCAACACTCATTCATGATAAAAACCCTATAGAAAATAGGAATAGATGGTCTTTTTACCTCAAGCTGATCATAGCCATCTATGATAAACCAACAGCTAACATCATACTAAATGGTCAAAAATTGAAAGCTTTCACTTTAAAATCAGGAATAAGATAAGGATGTCCACTGTCATGACTCCTATTCAAAACAGTGCTGGAAATATTACCTAGAGCAATTAGACAAAAGAGAGAAATAAAAGGAATAAGGACAGAAAAGGAAGAAGTAAAATTATCATCATTTGTGGATGACATAATATTCTACGTACAAGACCCCCCCAAAACTCCACCAAAAGGCTTATAGATTTAATAACCAAATTCAGCAGCATAATTGGATACAAAGTCAGTGCTCAAAAATCAATAGCATTCCTGTACAAAAACAACAAACAGACTGAGAGAGAAATTAGGGAAACCACACCTTTCATAATACCATCTAAAAAGATGAAATACTTAGGAATCAATCTAACAAAAGAAGTAAAAGATCTATTCAGTGAACATTACAGTACTCTGAAAAAAGAGATTGAAGATCGTATCAGAAAATGGAAAGACATTCCTTGCTCATGGATAGGAAGAAATAACATTGTGAAAATGGCCATACTCCTAAAATTGTCATACAGATTCAATGCAATCCCAATTAAAATATCACTAGTATACCTCACAGGTCTAGAGAAAATATTCCTAAAGTTCATCTGGAACCAGAAGAGGCCTAGAATAGCAAAAGCAATCCTGGGAAACAAAGGAAAGACAGGAGGCATCACAATTCCTGATTTGAAATTGTACTACAAAGCTACTGTGATAAAATCAGCACAGTACTGGCAAAAAAACAGACCTGAGGATCAATGGAACAGATTAGAAGATGCAGACACAGTTACAAACACACTCAGCCACCTTCCTTATCTTTCATAAAGGTCCAAATATGTTCAATGGAAGGAAGACAGTCTCTTCAATAAATGGTGCTGGAAAAACTGGCTTTCCACATACTGAAGACTAAAAATAGACCCATATCTTTCACCATGCACTAAATTAAAGTCAAAATGGATCAAAGATCTAAATAATAAAACAGAAACACTAAATCTATTGGAAGAGAAAGTAGGTAAAAATCTTGAAGACATAGGAGTAGGCAGAGAGTTCATGAATACAAACCAAACGGCATGGGAAATACTTCAAAGAATCAACAACTGGGATCTCATCTTATTGAAAAGTTTTTGCACATTGAAAGAAATTACCAATAGAGTAAAAAGAAAACCCACAAATTACGAAAAAATTTTAGCCAACTGCCCCTCAGACAAAGGACTTCTATACAGCCGGACATGGTGGCACACACTTGTAATCCCAGCACTCGGGAGGCTGAGGCAAGAGGATCGTTGCAAGTTCGAGATCAGCCTGGGCTACAAAGTGAGCTCAAGGCCAGCCTGAACTGCATAGTGAGAACCTGTAAAAAAAAAAAAAAAAGAACAACACACATACACAAAAATCAAAGGACTTCTATATAGAACATATAAAGAATTTTTAAAAATCAGGCCCCCCAAATTCAAAGACACAACCCAAAAATGGGCATTTGAGATGAATATACACTTCTCAGAGGAAGCAATACTAATGACAAATAAATACATGAAAAAATGTTCAACATCATTAGTCATTCAGGAAATGCAAATTAAAACAACACTGAGATTCCATCTCACCCCAGAAATAATGGCTATCATCAAGAAATCAATCAATAACAAATGCTGGAGAGGTTGTGGGGAAAAAGGAACCCTACCCCACTGTCGGTGCGAGTGTAGATTGGTGAAACCACTGTGGAAATCCGTTTGGAGATTCCTCACAAAACTAGGATTGGAAGTCCCACTTAACCCAGCTATTCCTCTTTTGGGTATTTTCCCAGAAGAATTAAAAACACCATACCACAGCAATATATCTGCACTCATGTTTAAAGCAGCATAATTTGTTATAGCTCAATCTTGGAAACAACTTAAATGCCCATCAACTGAGGAATGGATAAAAAAGATGAGGTATCTTTATATAATGGAGTATTACTCAGCTATAAAGGAAGATAAACTCAAGGCTTTTATAAGTAAATGGATGCAACTAGAGACCACACTCATAAGTGATAAATAAATCAGACCCACATGTGTAAACATCATATTGTCTCCCTGGTGAGGAACGTGAAAGAGTAAGTAAAACTCAAAACCTACAATGGATGATATGAGAAGGAAAGAAATTGCTCAAAGGAAGGAACAACTGGGATGAGGGAAAGAAGAAAAAAGAAAGAAGGCAAAATAGATAAATAGATAGCTAGATAGAGATATAGAAAAATAACAGGGATAACTGTATTGCTGATGTCTGATGATATACTGAAAGGAACTGTTAATATTTTAAAATTTTTTATATTCTGACCAGTTTTGCATGCTTCTATCTGGTAATCTGAGCAACTGATTTGAAGACAATAATATACAATTGAACAATAATTGGTGAATTCCTACCAACTTGTCTAGCGAAACTCTTACCTCTAATAATTATCTTTTTATTCTCTTTAATGGCTTGAACAATATTTCATTCTTACATCTGGTAAACTGAGCAATGTAGGTGAAGACAACAATATGTATGTAATATAACAACCACTGTTATATTTTTCCTTTCACTTAGTTTTGAAACTCTGTATCATTTTTAATGTGCTTGCTTTGTTTTGTTTATGTGTGTGATGTTGGTATGCTACTATTGTTCTTTTTTTTCTTTTACTACTCTCTTTAAAATAAAAAAAAGTTTTTTGAGACTTGGTCTCACCATGTAACTCAGACAGGCCTCGAACTCACTGTGTAGCCCAGGCTGGCCTCCAACTCGTGGCAATCCTCCTGCCTCAGCCTCCAGAATGCTGGGATTACAGGTATGTGCCACCATGCCCAGCCCATATGAGAAATTTTAAATGAAAAATTTTTTAAAAGTTAACAATTCACAGAAAAGTAACAAGTCACAGGAACACATTTTTAACAATAACCTATATCCAAAATAGGTAGGTGTGGTATTATTTTACATTTTAAAAAATTGAATGGTTTCATAGCTTACTCTCATCTGTGCATTATCTGTCATAATGTATTGTTTAGGTGAAAATATATGAAAAAGTCTAGGCTTACATAGACAGTATTTCCTTTACACTTTATAATGCATACTGTGGTCATTCTCTGACAGATAACATGTTGGTCTGAAACTATAGTGTTAAGTGTTTAAGGGTGTCTTTGACCGGATACAAGGTTTATGTCTTCAGTAGAACAAATTCAAATATTTCTAATTTACTAATGAACACATCCTTTCAAAACATAGCCATCATTCACTATGTACTGTGTGTTTAGTGGTGTTACAGATAGGGATATACTCTGCATATACAGAATGTTAAATGATAAAGGACCTAAGGCTTAGAGATTGAAGATCTAGTCCTAAATCATTAACCAATATTCATCCAGATCATCAGAACTTTTCCTTGGAACTCTTCAATAAAATGTCTCTCAGAAATCATGAATAAGTAAGTCTGGGCAATTTGTCTCCATCTTGGAAGAGTTACAATATACATCTCATTATAAACAAATATACCAAGCTGTAAATGACAGCTCTCCTACATCGTATAAGAAAAGATATTATTTAACTTTATTATATCAGAGTTTTGCCTCATGTAATAAGGAGATCCTGTTTTTTCTCTGTAGAAGATCTGAAAATTCATGCCTACTTATGTGTGTGCAGTTTTAAAGATAATTCTTAAATGTTCCTACACATAAACTGTCATGATATCTTAAGCACATATATCTCTACATATGACTACTTGTTTGGATTTGTAACTTATGATATAGGTTCTCAGTATACAGGAACATGTAATAGAGTAGCACATGGAAAGGAAGAATTGCTTTTATATATAATTTCTAAAGCCATTTCTTGCCGGGCGTGGTGGTGCACACCTGCAATCCCAGCATTCAGGAGGCTAAGGCAGGAGGATTGTAGCGAGTTCAAGACCAGCCTGGGCTATGAAGTGTACTCAAGGCCAGCCCAAACTGCATAGCAAGACCCTGTCTCAAAAGGCAAAAAAAAAAAAAAAAAAAAAAAACCACAAAAAAAAGCCATTTCTTTCTAGTAATGTGGTTGCCAGTGTATGTGATTCCAATTGCTTGCTATGTTATCAATATGTACATGGCCACATAGATTTCTGAAACTGGCTACAGGGGTTTCTATTTTCTCTGCCTCATGGATTTTTTTTCTTCTCTTCAATAGGCGAGACCGTGTAAGCTCATTTCTTCCTTTCATAGTTTGTTGCTAAAACAGTGACTCACTCTCTCCAGTCCATTTCCCCCCCAGAACATAGGATTGGGGACGAGAATATCTTTGATAATTCTGATACAAAGTCAATGAGCCTAAAAACCATCATGAAAGGCAACAGTGGCTGCTGAGGAGCAAAGTGGACAGGGAATTCTTAAAATTTCTGGCTGTACAGTTTCCCTGTGAGACACTAAAAAAGAATGCAAAAAACCTATTTTTACTCAGCTAACAGCATAAAAGAAAACTAAAGCAGTAACTTGCTGCAGAACTGCTTGCAAAGACATTCCCGCTGTTACTATTACCAAATGACAGTCTCTGAAATGTCAAGGAGCTCTACTCCCTAGTATTTAGGTGCTTTTCTGTATATGTGATACTTCATATACGTAAGTAGGCAATCTTCCCGCCCTCTAACCTGATAAGTCAAAAGAAAAAAAGTCTTCCCTAAACAAGATAAAGCAACTGAACCATTAGGTACCTGACAAATGGTTGTAAAGAAAATAAGTCAAGAGAAATACAAAAAATGGTATTTTAACAGAAAACATTCTAAGCATCAAAAATCCTGCTTAAATGTCAGGATATAATGTGACTAATAAATATAGCACTAACAATATAAACAGGATACTATGGGCAGAAAAAAACCTACTAAACTTACATCCTGATACACTGGAAGTCAATACAAAAGACATTTTCATATCGTCCTAATAATAATATACATGTTCATATCCATGTACAACTAATTTCCATATATAAATATTAATGGCACACTAGCAAAAATGGAACACCTTTAAAATTAGATAACGGAAGTCCTTGAGGGGTGGAAGGGCCTATCTTTTCAAAGAGCTGTCCTGATCACTGAGTTTAGGTACCACAAACCATGAAAAAACATACATAATGGCCTACCTAAGTTGATAATATTTTGGGCCCAGAAACTAGGATCACAGTGAAATTGGATGGTGTTGTTGGTCACTGGGGAAGCGTCACACCTTGCACGAAGGAGGTGCCGTAACCGGTACGTAATCTAGAAGAAAGCACAGAGAGAACTGAGTATCAACAACTTCGCTAAGCAAACCTAAAAATGGTTTGTGGTATAGATGTTAACACAGACTAAACAACCGTCAGCTATAAAAATACAACACAATGTTCTTGGCAAAACGTTATATTTTTGTGCTAATTCTAACTTATCTTCTCACAATCTACACATTCTACCTCTCAATAAAACCTGTTGGCAGGGTGTGGTGGTGCATGCCTGTAATCCCAGCACCTGGGAGGCAGAGGCAGGAGAACTGTTGTTGAGTTTGAGGCCAGCCTGGGATACAAAGTAAACTTAAGGCCAGCCTGAACTACATAGCAATACCCTGTGTCTAAACAAACAAAATAACCCCCCCTAAAACAAATCAAAACAAAAATTCAATAAGTCCTGTTGGCTCTACATTTAAGATACTGTATATGGATAATCTGACCTTTGAACAATGCTAGCTACCACTCCAGAAAAGCTCTGTATTTACTAAGTTCTAACTGGTCTCTTTTATTTCTTCCCCACCCTCCAATATCTATGCTGGATTCTCAACACAGCAGCTACAGTGGCTATGTTAAAATATAAGTTTGAAAAAAGAAAAAAAAAAAAAAAAAAAAAGACCAGGGGGCTGGGGATTTAGCTCAGCGGCAAAGTGCCGCCTGGCAAGCACAAGGTTATGAGTTGGATTCCTGCTACCAGAAAAAAAATATATATAAGTCATATCATGCCACCCCTCTCCTGAAACCCCTGCACGTTTCTCATTTTGCTCAGAATGAAGTCCTCAAAGTGAAGTACAAGGCTTATGCTAACTGCTCTCCACTACTTCTCAGACCTAACCTGCTACAGCACTTCACTTGACTCAGCCCTCAGGCCTCCTTGCTGACCATATCATAAAAGCTCCCACCCCAGTCTTGGCATGTGCTCTGGCAGACACTGTCTCCTTGAATGTATGCATGGCTTGTTTCCTCACTTCCTTCAGCTATTTGTCAGCATCATCCATTTTCAATAGTCTCTCCGCTATCTGAAATTGCATCCCTCACACCAATGCTGCCAGATTCCTCCTCCAGTTTGCTCTTTAAGGGACTTACTAATATCCAACAATCTACATATCTTAGTGTTGTCTATCTACCTGCACTAAAATGCAGTTCCTTGAGGATAAAGATTTTCTTTTTTGTTCCTTCAGTACTGAAAATGTTGCCTGCTACATGGCAGCATTCAATAAATAATTATTGAGTATGTAAATTTGCTTCAATTGCAACATTATCTCAAACAACTATAATAAATTCTAGCTACAAATAATTTATGTAGGGATGATGGAGATCATGTGGCACGGTTTAATAAATAGCACTTAATACAGTGTGCCTTTCCCTAAGGTTCTCTCACTTTCTTCCCGATAGGGCAAGAATGACTCCATTTTCTTTTTGTAACTCCATTTTAAAAGTCACTTAAGTTCATTTAAACTGTAGCTGAACTCACTCCTTCACCCCCTCCTCCCCTGTAGTTAACCATGAAAACCCACTAAAGGAAAACAGAGCTATAAAATAAGGAACAAATAGAGCAAATTGAGAAGTAGGCTAAGTGTTAAACCACAATGTCCACCCAAGGTCCACCTGACCAGCACATGACCAGCAACTTCTGGGAAATGTGAACTCTGTGACAATTACGTGGCATTCTTGTAAAATTCCTGAAAAGAAGGTAATGTGGTTGGATGGTCGCTATGGGAACCCTAGAAGGTACTTAAACTGGAAGCAAAGTCCAATCCAGGCCAACACCTTCCCTGGCTGCTTGTCAGGGACATCGGTCGCCGGCTCAATAAAGCTTGTTTATTCCTATATTTGGTCTCTTGTGAGTGCCTACCTCGCTGAATTTCAATTTTTGCCGTAACATTCCCTTTCGGCATCCTCTAATAGCCCTGACTGTAAGTAAAGCTGATATTAAGCAAAACAATTACTCTAAGAACTTTCATTTGTAAATAGCCTCATGATTTTATCATTTTCTACAATTTAGCCATTATGTTTAAAAATTGTAATTGACAAAAATTGTATGCATTTATAATGCAAAACATTTAATGAAGTATGTACATTATGGAACAATGACACTGAGCTAATTTTTTTTTTTTTTTTTTTTAAGGATAAAAGGAGGGAAACATTAACAGACATACAACATTTTACAACATATCACAAGCACAATACAGACAATACAGAGTTACAAACAAAGTGGTAGGGAATTAACAATGGTGGTTGTATTACATATTGATATCTTCAAAGACACTGAGCTAATTAACATGTTTATTACCTCACATATTTATATTTGGGCAAGTACAAACAAAAATCTGCTCTTAGCAATTCTTAATATACACATGGTAATTAATTATAGTTGACTATATTATACAATATATTAATTTCCTTTTGAAGTTACTAACTGAAATTTATATCCTTAGATCAACATCTCCCCCACAGTGTCCCTACCCCTTAACCACTATTTTATTCTCTGCTTCTATGAATAAAGTTTTGTGCATACAAGTGAGATCATGTAATCTCTATCTGTGCCAACTTACATCATGTAGCACAATGCTCTCCAGAGTCACCACACTGTCAGGACAGGATGCTACAGTCTAAGGTCCCCACCCAAACTCATGGTGGTACGACAGTAGTAGGTGGGAACCTAGAGAGGTGATTATTCTACTCATGGATTAATGACTTACCTCAAGAGCAGGTCTGTAAAGAGAACTAGTATGGCTCTGTCCCTCACCTAGTGATGCCCTTTGCTGCCTTGCCAGCAAACAAGTCCTCACCACTGTAGCCACTTAAATCTTCGACTCCTACGGTCTCCAGAACCATGAGCCAAACTTTTTATTCTTTGTACATTCCCAATCTGGTATTGAGTTATACCAACAGAAAGGGAACTAACACAGGATTTCTTTCCTTCTAAAGGCTAAACAGTATTGCATTGTCACTATACATCCATCTGTGGGCAGATAGTTGAGCTGGTTCCATATCTTGGTTATTATAAATAGTACTGCCATAAACATGGGAATGCAGGTATCTCTATGACACACTAACTCCATTTCCTTTGATCTACACCCAGTCCAGCAGTAGGACTGCTGGAGCATATATCTATTCTATATTTAATATGGCTTTCAAAAATGGCTACGCTAATTTACATTCTCACCAACCATGTGCAAGGGTTTCCTTTTCTCCACATTTCCAACACCTCTGTCTTTTTGATAATAGCCTTTTAATTTTTTTTAATCTTTTGATGTCATTTTATTTTTTATTTTAAAGGAATAAAAAAAGAACAGCAGCAAAATATCAACAACACAGATAAAAACAAAGCAAAAACAATAAAAATGATACAGGGCTTCAGAACAAAGTGATAGGAATTAACAGTGGTTGTTATATTACATATTGTTATCTTCAGTAAAGTTGCTCAGATTACCATATTTTTTTGTTTCTTTTATTCTCTTTAATGGTTTGATCAATCTTTTAGTATTTTTAAATAATTTCAAATTGTAGAAAAAAGGGTAGAACACCCATATTCCCTTGATCTAGATTCCCCATTTGTATCAACTTTACTCCAAAATCCACACAACTGCTCCTACACACATCACAGGTTATTACTGATCTTTGCCTAAAACTTTTGAGAGGAAGATGTGTACACGAAGTCCTCTCTCCCATAAACATACCATTGCGAATATTCCCTAGAAAAGCCAAATTGAGAAAACTGTGTTACTGTACTACTATCCAAAGATGTCTACCAAGTACTAACTATCCCAGCACTGTCTCTGTTCCATCATGCTATTAAGGAATAAAAGGTGCAATCAGTTGCCACAGCCCTTAATTTACTAGTCTTTCTCTCTCCTTACCTTTGATGGACTTTAAAGATTGTAGGACTAATAATTCTGTAAGATACCTTTCAAGGGGGATGTGATCCATACTTCTTCCTGATAAGACTTAGGTAAAGCACTGTCAAAAAACACCCCACAAAGCTGGGTGTGGTGGCGCACGCCTATAATCTCAGCACTCAGGAGGCTGAGGCAGGAGGACCCTTGTGAGTTCGAGGCCAGCCTGAACTGCATATTGAGACCCTGTCTCAGAAAGACCAAAAAACAAAACAAAACAAAAAGCCCACCCCTGAATGGTGTGTCAGGACATACAGAACGTCAACTGTCCTGCCACAAGTGATTCTGCTGCCTAATCTCCACCTTAAAGTTACCAATTCCCTTTTGTAACCGATTACTACTTTCTGAAGAGGTATGTTAAGACTATGTCAGAACCCAGTGTTCCTCCTGGATTATCTCTATGACAGTGGCCAAATGAGCTTCTGTATGTCTTTTAGCTCTTCCACATTCACTGGTTTACATCTTCTCAACCTCTTCCTGCACTGATTTATGGCTTACTAATACATATTACTATGGACTCATGTATTCCTTAGTCATGCAAAGCATTATAATCCACTATTACAGTGATTTGTTTTCATTTCTAAATTTGTTCCTTACATGCCTAGCAGGCTGGATCGTAGTGCCTTTGACATGTCCCTGAGATTTTCTAAGCGTTTTCCTATTTTCTAGTGTATAAAGACATTCTAGAAGCCAGAAGTGGTGGGGTATGTCTGTAGTCCGAGCTACTCAGGAGGCTGAGATGGGAGGATCACTTGTACAAGTCTGGGATCAGCATGGGTACACAGTAAGATTCTAAAGGAAGGAAAGAAGGGAGGGAGAAGAAGGGAGGGAGGGAGAGAGAAAGGGAGAACAAGTGAGAGGGAGAGAGGAGGGTAGGAGGGAAGAAGGGAAGGAAGGGGAAGAGAGACAGATGAGTAGAGAGAAAGAAAAAGTGAGTAGTTCAGGGCACAACTTGCACTTTTCCCTCTCTTGGTGTTTTTTTTTTGTTATTTTGTTTTGTTTTTCTTCTGGTACCAGGAATCGAACTCAAGACCTTGCGCTTGCCAGGCAGGCGCTGTGCCGCTGAGCTAAATCCCCAGCCCCTCCTGGGTGTTTTGAAGTAAATTATCCGAAAGGACAGTGGCTCACTGATACTAGGGTATAGCACACAAACATATCTACAATAATTTCTAATCTATCGGCATACATACATGCGTAAAATAAAACTCAGGTTCACATTTATGCCTCCAATTCCAATCTAACACACCTTAGGATCTTTTCTAGCCTTGCTTCTAAGTTCTCTAGAAACTTGGTTTCCATGACTTTCAATGCATTTCTCTATTACTTAATGCAGGGGTTATTTAACCAACTTATTTGGAGCCTAAAGAGCACTGTCTGTTCCTTCTGCCACCTCTCCATGGGCCCTCAGCACTCCACCTCTCTGGCTGCTGGCCTATTGCTTGTGCGGCCCCCAATCCTTCTCACTGCCCCTTGTCCTCAGTCACTATGCTGATGCCGCTTTTCATGCTGGAAAGATGCTGCCTAGTTTTTATTTCTTAAAAACCTGTTTTTTTCTCCCTCAGACATATTAATAATTTAGTATTTTGTATCATATCTCTAATGGGGTGGAAACTGAATAATGTTAAGATTTCTTGCTTAGAAAAAAGAATCAGTGTGAATAGTTCCTTAGAAGGAAATCAGCTTTAGTTAAAAAGCAACAATGAGGCAAATCCCTTGGATGTAAATACTTCTTTGCTCTTGAGGGTCTGTTTAAAATGATTTCTTTCTTTTATGATTAAAATTTTATTTTTTAAGTGAGACACTGAGTAACTGTTTCTTAATTAAGTTATAGCAGGACTGAAAGTAGTACCAAAAGGAGCTCCTTATCTCACATCCTGTAACAAAATTCTATTTTGTATTTTATTGTCATTCAATGTACAGATAAAAAAAGTTCTCTTGCTGCACAATGATTTATCACCCATCTAAAATGTAAACCACTATACTTGACAAAACTCCTGTAACACATGTTTAGTAATTTTGAGCACCATATAGCCTAGGTAATTACAGAACATAAATAATGGTTCATTAAAGCTATGTGCTAGCGGTACCTGGCGCCATACACTTGTAATCCCAGCACTCTGTGTGCCTGAGGCAGGAGGAGGAAAAGGCTGAACACAGCCTGGACAACTGTGAGAACCTGTTTCAAATTTAAAAATGGGTAAAGGGTCAAGGGTGCAGTTCCTAAAAGGAAGAGTGAGGGAAAGTTTCTTGATATTGGCCTTTCTTAGCAATGATTTTTTTTTTTTTTTGGTTATCACATGAAAAATTCATGCAACAAAAAGCAAACATAAACAAGACACCTAAAATTAAAATGCTTTAGCACAGCAAAGGAAAAAAGTAAAAGGCAGCCTACAACTTAAAATATTTGCACACTATGTTTGGTAAAAGTTAATACTGAAGATATATAAGGAATCCATACAACAATAAGAAAAATGAAACAGCCTGATTAAAAAATAGGCAAAATATCTGAATGGACATTTTCCCAAAGACAATGGGTATATGAAAAGGTGCTCTACATTAACAATTAGCAAAGACACACAAACCTGCAATGAGATATCACCCCGCACTTATTATTGTGGCAATAAAGATGAGGACCAGGAGAAAAGAGAAATAGGCACTGTTTGTGGGAATATAAATTGGTAGAACTGCTGTAGAAAACATTATGGAAACAGCCATTATGGGAAAAACTCAAAGTATAACTACCATATATATGACCCAGCAACTCCTCTGCTTAGTGTATTCCCAAAGGAAACTAAAACACTCATAAAAACTGAATATAATTCATGACTAGGAGTAATTTTAGAAATAGTCACAAATCAGTATCTGAATAGCCACTCAGTATTTGAGCCTGCTTTATAAAAGCTTGTCCAGATATACAATTCAGTGGTTCTCTAGCATGATGGAGGCTCTAGGTTCAAATCCCCAGTAACCGACAAAGTAAAACAACCAAAACCAAACTGTGGGAGCCACTGTGGATTACTTCACGGCCATGGCATCTGAGGACACATAAGGGCATGACACACCTGTTTGACATAGATAGGCCCACATCGGATTACACTTATATAAGCATGACTTAGCATAGACAACCACGCATGTGCAGTATGGCTATGACACTACACAAGAATGTAAAACTTGATAATGACTAATAAGTACAAGCCAGACAATGAAGCCTCTTGCTGCTGCTGTTGTTCCTGATGTCTGATCTGTGTGCTTTCTTTTCCTTGGGGACGTCACCCATGAAAATACACCTTCAGGCCCTGGCTCATACACAAACAAAAAACAGAAGAACATTTCCCTATTTAAACTGACATGGAAGCTTTCTGTCACTTTATTCCAAAAACTAGACTGAGTGACAGAAAACCGATTTGGATGTCGTAACACTTCAGAGTATGTCTCTGTGCTTTTTGTAGCAAGGATCAAGAAGATACTTAGTAACAGGAAGTCAAGATGTATAAACATTCTTCAAAATTCCTGCTTGGCTTCACTTTATTAAAAATTCAACAGTCTCCCCAAACTAGGAACATTAGCACCAGGGATGCATGTTGGAAACACACAGCCTGGCCCTATGATGGACCTGCCAGAACAACATCCCCAGGGGATTCACATGCAGTCAGATTATGGCCACAATAGTTCATGAATGGAAAATACTTAGAATAGGACCCTGGGACCTATGAGTGAGCAATAAATGTTTACTATCATTATTATTATTATCATTATTATTATTTGTATTAAGTTCAATTGCCATGAAGACATGACTACAGATTAAAATTGAAAAAGTACCAAAACTATGCCAGTTAAACACTTTTGATCAATTACAACTACCAAAATGAAAAAAGTATTCAAGCATAAATAGACTAATGTGCATTACTGAACTTTGTTTTTTGTTCTGGTTTGCTGACAGGGTCTTGTGGCATTGCCAGGCTGGCCTCATACTCTAGAACAAGCCATCTTTTGCCCCAGCCTGCCAAATAGCTGGGACTGCAGACCCACAGCACTGTGTGTGGCTCGCTTCTGAACTTCAAGCATCCCAATAACTCTACTGTTTTGTTGTACATTTTTAAAGAACGTTAAATACCATACTATATCTTACCAGTCGCTTGCTATAAAGTAATGCTGTACTGCTGCCACTGGAAACTGCCCATTTAGAAAAATGCATAACATGCTCCAGCTGTTTAGAAAGCCCAGCCACTTCTTGTTGCTGTTGCATAAGTTTCATGCGATGGTCCTTTGCAAGGCTCTGAAGAGAAGGTGTAAGTTTCAAAATTAGCCTCTGCACCTAACATTCATTTCAATGGTCATGTTCAGGCAAACAAATTAGAACAACCATCCTAATGGACTCAATTAACAGCAACTGAAAACGTTCTTAGTGTTTTCTCCCTTAATACAAATGGTCATTTTCATGGTCATTTTCACTTTAACAACAAAAACCTACATTTCCAGTGTTGCCTCCCATCCCTTCCACCTTTAGCCCGTCTGGTTTTACACATTCTGGGCTTTAAGTCTCTTGTTTATCCATCTTGTAATATACAAAACAGGATAGAAACACTGGGTTTGGTGGCTCATTCCTATAATCCCACCATTCTGTTCTGGGAGGCTGAGGCAGGAGGACAGCAAGATTTAGCCCGGCCAGGAGAATTTATGGAGACAAAGCATTAACATTAAAAATGGGGATGGAGATGTAGCACAATGAAAAGGCCTTGACTTTAATCCCAGTACAGTACAGGGGATGTAAGAAGGAGGCACAAAAGCAGTAGATGTAGTGTCTAGAAACCTAGTAAAGTTATCACTCAGATGACTTAATCACCTAAGATTTCACCTTGTAGGGATTCTAGTCTCAATTATAGCTAGCTTGTGCCCAGAATTATACCATGTGGTGGATAATTCTTATCCTTTTTATGTGAATCCAAAAGTGAACAACCCATTCTATTATTTCTCTCTATTGAGAATGATTATGGGAGTCCACAGATATAATGAGTACCTGTGTTAATGCACACTCAGAAAAGCAAACAAAAACTTTCTCCTTAACCTGGCAACAAAAGAGGAAGAGAAAGGAGTTTTCCACTGGCTTGGACAAATTAGAGAAGTAAAACTGCTGCACCCTAACATGGACTCATATTCTCAAAAGAGGGTAAACCTGGATATCTGCTCCTGTCAGTTCCAAATTTGGAAATTCATGACCACTAAACTAAATGACAATTTAAGGGATTAACAGTCAATGGTTTTTTTAGTTAAGTTTAGAGAAAATAATTTACCTAGTAAGGAATTTCTGAGTTTGTGAACCTAAGTGTTCCTTAAGAAATATTCTAATGAAAATAGAAATTTGTTGACTTTGAGGGGAGGTTTCAATTTGAAAAATAGGTCTGTAGTACCTGGGTCTTTTATGGTAACAACTACTTGGGCGTTAGCAAATGAAACTGATTATACTTACTTGCCTTAAAAAGAATTCTGTACCAGAAAAATGGATATGAGACCTGGATATTTAAAAGGGAGTGACAATTATAAGTCAAAGCTGATTAAAAAATAATAGTGCTGACCAGATTTACTTTTAAGGTTCAACAGTATGGTTATGATTATATTTCATTATTCTTTTGATTCTGATGTACAATAAAGTCTGGAAACACAGCTGCAGCAATGTATGAATCACTAATCTCTGAGAAAACAAAAATGACATTTGTTAAGCAGAGCTTTAAAAACTTCAAATTCTGCTTATATGTATCTTTAAAAAAAAACAAAAACAAAAACAAAAAACCAACTGCAGGGCCAGGGATATAGCTCCATGGCACAGTGCCTGCCTGGCAAACACAAGGTCCTGAGTTCGATTCTTGGTACCAAAAGAAAAACAAACAAAAACAACAACTGCAGAACCTTGAAAAACAGTTGCTGGGCCTGGTGATGCATGCCTATAATCCCAGCACTCTAGAGGCTGAGACAGGAGGATCGCCACAAGTTTGAGGCCAGCCTAGGCTATGTGGAGAACTCAAGGCCAGCCCAAACTATACAGTGAGACTGTCTCAAAAACAAACAAAAACCCCAAGAAACAGTCAACTATACATGGGGTCTAATTTCCTCTGCCCAAAGTATTTCCTCACTAAATATCTGTTTCTAAATGAACAGAGATTTTAATCTTTATTTTCTATATGGCTGATATAAATCATAGGAATAACTATGGTTTTCAACAAGGGACAGAACTTTCTGAAAGGCACATTAAAGGGGTTGAATTATTTCTATAAATCTTATTATATAGAAAGTCTTCAACTCCTCAATACTCAGATTATTTTATTTCCTTTCATTCTAAATTGCTTCACAACCATGAATCTTTCTGCATCAGTATACTAAAAGAATATTTAAAGATTATCCAATTGATATCTATAAATGTTAACATGATGTAGAACTCATCACCTTACAATATTTAAAGACAAACATGGACTTTGGGTGTTCACCTGCATGTTTTTAAAATTACTGATGGAGATAGTAATGTTTTTCTTACCTGCTGTAAGAAATAACTATTCTAAACTAACTGCCTTTAATACTGTTCCCTAAGTCCTGCTTACAAGATTAAGATTATAAAATGTTGAGGGCAGGAGCTACATTATTTTACTTAATTTCTCACAAAGTTAAATGGACAATCATGCATTGCTTAAGAGTGGGATACACATTATGAGAAATGTGTCACTTGGCAATTTCATCATGGTGTGAATACCAAAGAGTATACTTCAACAAGCTGAGACAGCTAGGATAACACTACACAATAAAATCTTATGGGACCACTGTTACACACACATTATGTTGTAAGATCTGGATATTTAAAAGGTAGTAACAATTATAAGTCAAAGTTGATTAAAAATAATCAGGGGCTGGGGATTTAGCTCACCGGCAAAGCACCTGCCTGGCAAGCGCAAGGTCGTGAGTTTGGTTCCTGGTACCGGAGAAAAACCAAAAAAAAATAAAATAAATAAATAAATAAATAAATAAATAAATAAAAATAAAAATAATCAGGCAGATTTACCTGATGACCAGATTTCCTTTTAAGGTTCAATAGTCTGGTTGCGGTTATATTTGAAAACTAGATATAATTAAGTGTATCTTTCTAGGAAATTTCACTTAACTCCACCCCTTTTACAATGCAAAACTGTCATTTCAATGAATCTCTACAAAGACTCAGCTTTCAGCATCTGCAGACCTACTAGTGAAGCTTTGTGTTTTGTGCTGGGAAACAAACAATGAGATGTAAGATATTCGGAGTACATTATGAAGGTATAAATATATAGAACTTGGCAAAGGAAAACTCAGGAATGGAGAAAAATGCTATGTCAAAAATGAAAATAATTATATGAGAAAGACTATGACTTCAAGGTCACAGACACATTAGAAAATACTAGGTTGAGTCACTACAGAACTACTGCCTGAGAAGTAACTCACCTCTAGCTGATGCAGCAGAGCTTTTCCTTTCTTATTTATTTCTACCATCAATGTAAAGATAGCAACTTTAATATCCTGTTCCACTTGCTTTTGATTTTGGTTTACTTCAAGTATTCTGAAAGTTAAATGAAAGGGAGAAAAATATTTAAAAACCTGAGGCACATTTTTTCTTACAATATTTAAAATGGATTACAATATTTTAATGTCTATATTAGATCAAAATGTTTACAGCTCTCTCAATCTTTATTTTACAGCCCTTCTTTTTAGACTGACTTTCTCATGAAGAGAATGAACACACTGGGAGAAAACACGTTTTGGGAAGATCATGGTGACACCCAGAGGAATACAGTACACCTAAGTGGATAGGCGGGGGAGATGTACTAAACAGATTTATAAACAAGATAAGGAAACTTCTGAACAAGTTTTTCTGTATTCACTGTAACTAAGGGGAAGAAAAGAACACACATGCTACTCTGATCTTAGGCATGAGAACTGCTATAGTTTTCAAGGCAATTCAATAGATAGTACAGTCTTTTCAACAAATGATGTTGAAAGAATGGACAGCTAGATGCTATCAGTAAACCCTGGGCTAGGGATGCAGCCGGGTGTTGAGGTGCTGGCTAGCACATACAAACACAGCTCTGGGTACTGTCCATAGCACCAACTGGGTGAAAAAGTGAACCTGGATCCACAGCTCAAATCACATACACAATGGAAGAATAAGAAAAAAGGGTAGATCTTTTATTTAGAATTATTTCATAATTCCTACATTTTGCCACTAGATGGTACAAATGCCTTGAATTATCTCTCCTCATTCATTAATTACCTGAATCAAAAATCTTGAAATCCATCAATACTGTATTTGGCAAAACATATTGTGAATAGTATATAGTAAAGGAGATCATATTTGGCTAACCAGAGTTATTCTGTGAGAGAAAGAGGTTTTTTTAGAGAAAGAACAGGGGAAACATTTTCTAAAAGGATAGGGAGCTGATAAAAAAAGAGAAGAAAAACTAAAAAGCACACAATACAATATATACTAATGTTCACACAAAATACAGTGTATATTAATGACTTCAGCCTGTAATCCCAGCACTCGGGAGGCTGACAATGGAGGATTACTACGAGTTTGAGGCAAGCCTGGGTTACATAGTGACTTCAAGGGTAGCCTGAACTATATAGTGAGATTCTGGGGGCTGGGGATTAGCTCAGCGGAACAGCACCTGCCTGGCAAACGCAAGGTTGTGAGTTCGATTCCCAGTACTGGAAAAAAAACCAAAAACCAAAAACCAAACAAACAAAAAAAGATATAGTGAGATTCTGTCTCAAAAAGAAAAAGAAAAAGAAAATTAATGACTTCAATACAATATATAACTGACTTACACAATGAATAATACTTATATAATACTAAGATAAAATTAAAAAGTAAAAATCACATTTAAGAATGACTTTTAAGGAAATCAGGTAGTACGGGGAATTATCTAAAAAAAAATCTTAAATTAATAAACCCTAGATATGTCCCAAGATGTTCAGAATAACATATTATGGTGACTGGTCTTAAAAAAGATGACACAACTTCCCCAATGAACAAAATTTAAAGCACCTGCAAGGAACTTTTTGTTTTGGCTCTTGACCTATTTAGGCAGTGGCATATGACTTTTGCATGCAAAACAAAACAAACAAAAACAGGGACACAGATTTCTTAAATGTGTTAAGGTGGTAATTAAATTGTCCCTGTGTGCCCTAAAAGGGATAAGAGAGGGGTCAAACAACACACTCTCCTCCAAAGTTAGTGGTTTATTTCCTAATCACTAAATTTAGAGACATGCACCTTTGGACTGCTGATTTTGTTCTTTGAAAGTCCACAGGACCTAACAAGTCAAATTACAAACTACTTACACATTGCATCAGGAAATGAATAAAAGGTATGAGAAATAGTTTAACAATCCCTAGTCTCCTCTGGTAGTAAAATTTTCACCTATTTTCAACTAAAACATCACACAGCCTAGAGTAAGTACCTCAAATTTAGCAAACCTTAAAATAGAAATTAGGCTGGGCCGTAGTGGCACAAGTTCATAAACTCAGCACTCTGAGAGGCTGGCTGAGGCAGGAGGATCACAAGTTCAAACCCTGACTGAGCAAATTAGTAACTTAGTGATGTACTGTCTCATTATAAAAAATTAAAAAGGGCTGTGATGTACCTGGTGCAACGGTTCTGGTTTCAACCCCCAGTACTGGTGTGTGTGTGGGGGGGATAAAATGTTTAATTATTTTACAATACTGGCAAAAATGACTGACTATATTTAAGTATTAGCATTTCTTTGAAATTGGAAAACATAAGATAATTATAAATTATCAATATCTACCAGATAAATGAGCTGTTACTCTTCTTTATTATAACCCATTTAAAATTTCACAGCTCAAAAAGCTACTTTCCAGGGGCTGGGGATTTAGCTCAGTAGCACAGCGCCTGCCTGGCAAGCGTAACATCATGAGTTCAATTCTCGGTACCGGAAAACAAACAAACAAACAAACAAACAAACAAAAAAGCTACTTTCCAACCCCAAGTTTCTAGTAAAGTTTTATCAACCATGTATTCAAAGCTGTTGGACAGCTTACTACTTACCTTCACAATGACTCAAGAAAAATGTTCTCTTCCAAAAATAAGTACACCTTACACATATTACATAAACATGATTTGTCACAATACCATAAATGCAAATTTACCTGTTTTGGATCTGATTTCCTGTGTATTTTATGTATTTTGTTTTTTCCATCAGTTTAGTAATTAGGGTATCTATGATCACTTTCTGATTCTGAAAAGCTTCTTCAATAAATTGGTATCTGAAGAAAGAAATAAATGGTTTCCTAAGTTTGTATAAAATGAGGGAAAATCAAAAGTTAAAGACTGTCAAAAAGAGATTATAAAAAATATAAAAAATAACCTCTTAAAAATTCCAAAGATACACTAGAATGCATATTTTCCCTTTCTCTCAATTTACTGGTCAAGAAAGGGGTCTACTAAAAGGGCTAACATATAGAATATATAAGGGACATAAAAGAAAACAATAGACATCCAAATTTAAAGACCCAATTCAAACATGAGCATCTGAAATGAACACAATTCTGATGAAAAAATAAAAACAGCAAATAAATATATGAAAAAATGTTCAACATCACTGGTCATTGGAGAAATGCAAATTAAAGCAACACTGATGCATGCCTGTAATCCCTGCACTCAGGAGGCTGAGGCAAGAGGATCACCATCAGTTAGAGGCCAGCCTGGGCTACATAATGAGTTCAGGGACAACTTGAATGACCAAGCAAGAACTAGTCTCAAAAAAAACCAAGCCAAACCCAACCAACACTGAGATTCCATCTCACCCCAGAAAGAATGGCTATCATCAAGAAATCAACCAATAACAAATGCTGGCAGGACTGTGGGAAAAAATGAACCCTTCTCCACTGTTGGAAGCATAAACTGGTACAATCACTATGGAAATCAGTATGGAGATTCCTCAAAAAATCAAAACCAGAGGTTCCATTTGACCCAGCTATGTCCCTTCTAGGTATCTTTTCAAAATACTTAAAACCATCATACCACAGTGATATATGCATACCCATTTACAGCAGCACTATTTCTAACAGTAAAATCTTGGAAATAGCTCAAATGACATTAACAGATAAACTGATTTAAAAACTGTGGTATTTATCAAGCCGGGTGTGGAGCACACACCTGTAATCCCAGCACTCAGGAGGCTGAGGCTGGAGTACTGCCATGAGTTCGAGGCCAACCTCAACTGCATAGCAAGACCCTGTCTCAAAAACACGCATGTACACATGCACATGCGCGCACGCACACACACACACACAAACACAATGCAATACCACTCTGCCATAAACTTGAGTCATTTTTAGGTAAATGGATATACCTCAAGACCATAATGTTAAGTGAAATAAATCAAATGCACAACTTTAAATATCACATTGTTTCTCTTGTATGAGAAACCAAAAGGGTAAATAGGGAAGAAAATGGAGGATAGACATTGGAAAGAATGAAGAACATGTTCAAATGGGAAGGGAAACAAGGGAGGGGATAGAAGAGAAAAGGGATTTTTAAAAAAGAATGAGGAGGAAAAAATGGAAAGAGCTTTTGAAAATGGGGAAAGGAGGAAAGTTGAAGGGAAGGGAGGGGAATGGACAAAAATTAAGACATAATGTACAAGGCCAGGGATATACCTCAGTGACATAAGTGCCTGCCTGGCAAGAGCAAGGTCCAGAGTTCAATTCCCAGTACAAAAAAAAAGAAAGAAAAGGCAAAACGTACAGGTATAAATTCCTTATGATGTGATCACTATGGTAAATATGTGCTAATAAAAAAAGGTCCTCCAGAAAGGGGAGGGGCCAGAAGCCAGGTATAAAGGCACATGCCTGCAATCCCACCACTTGAGCGGCTGAGGCAGGAGGATCACTGTGAGTTTGAGACCAGCCTGGACTACGTAAGTGAGCTCAAAACCAACCTGAAGAACATAGTGAGACCCTGTCTCAAAAAAACAAAAAAAAAATGGGTGTGTATAGATATTATTGATGGACACTTGGTATTATTTCAGAAATTTAAGAAACACATGACTGTCACTCAGGTTTTAGTATCTGATAAAGCTTATCTGGCAAAAAGCAAAGATATATTCGCAGATCTATTAACCATTCTATAATTTCATGTATGAAAGCCTCCTGGAAATAAACACTTTAAAGATCACTTTTAAATAACAGGCATATTTGTAGAGGACACAAACATATGTGTTTGTAATAAACTGAGGAGGGTGGGTGAGGGTGAGGTAGAGCCTGAACTACTGTGTGATACAGCACTTAAAGATATGTATCAACTTGGAAGTGAAGACTATTTTGGCAAACTATGTAAGATGATGCAAAAACTCTTAGAAGACAGGCGATGCTGTAGAAGATTATATGGTTTTATTTACATTTTTCATAAAATATACAAACATAGTATTTCTAAATACTTTACATAATGTGAATTTAAGTGTGTAAATGAATTAAGTCAGCATTATAAATAATAGCCTACGGCCATACCATCCTGAACTTGCCTTATCTCATCTGATCTCAGAAGCTAAGCAGGGTCGGGCCTGGTTAGTACTTGGACAGGAGTATTATAAATAATATTGCCAGAGTTATTTAAAAAAAAAAGAGTATTCAATACTTCTATTAGATTTTCTTGATACATAATCATATCATCTACTATAATGACATTGAAAATTCTTTCTTAAGGAACTCAAGTATTTTAAATCTTTTAAACGTTTTTCTTTTACTACACTGGGACTTTAGTATGATATACTATTAAAACAGATGATCAAAATGGCTATGGTACATTGTTCTTAATCTCAACGTAACAACTTTCAATATCCCATTAAGTATGATGTTTTCCGTTATTTTAATAGATTGTCAAGTACAGGAAATCCCCTTTTACTCCTACTTTGCTAATATTTCATGTTATTAATGTGTATTTAATTTTTGCAGAATGTTTTTCCTACTTCTAGTGAGATGGTCCTGTAAGTTTTCCTTTATTCTTGTAATATGACAGCATGAATTACTTTGGGATACTAAATGCATTTTTTTGTTTGTTTTTTGAGACAGGTTCTCACTTTGTAGTTCAGGCTGGCCTTGAACTCACGGCAATCAGCCTGCCTCAAGCCTCCCGAGTGTTGGGACTACATGTGTGTGCCACCACATCCAACAACTAACTGCATTTTACATTCTTAATATAAGGCAACTTGAGGGCCGGGTATACAGCTTAGCAGCTCAATGCCTGCCTAGCAAGCGCAAGGTCCCGAGTTCGATTCCAGCACCCCCTTGCCCCAAAGCCAACTTGATGGTGTTTAACTGTCTAAAAATGATGATACCAATGGATTTAGTTTCCTGTATCTCAAAATTTTTACACTGATTTGCTCGATGAAGCTGGCTTATAATTTTTCATTTCTATTTCTTATCAGCTTTTGGTACAAAGCTTAGACTGGCTTCATAAAAGAAGTTAGAATTCATTCCTTTACGAGACCCCAGACAAGTCTATAAAAGAAAAGTATTACATTTATATGAACTATCTTGTATATTAATTAGTGAAGTCATTTGGACCTGCAGTTTTGTGTGGAGAAGTTTTAAATTGCAGATTTACATTAAAGGAGAACCTTACTTTTCTATTTTATTTTATATTCTATGTTATGTTTGTTCCAATTATAACAATTTTCTCATTTCATGGAAAACCTTCTGTGGGAGTCACCACTGAAAACGTATATGTGAAGCGCTCTGCATCTAAGTGGCCCTCCTAAAGGGTCAGCTAAGGACTCTGCAGACGGAGCATGGTGTGACTTGGAGGGAGGCCATGGCCTTGCAGCTGCAGGAGGTGGGCACATTTTCAGTGCTGCTCCCAGGCCTATCAACCCAGTTCCCAATGCTATGGGCTCAAGTGCAACAAGTATTCTTCTCAGACTATCTTTTGGACTTTTGTTCTCTTTATCTATTTAAGATAGATTATCCCTTTAATAAGCAGAGTGGTCATCCGCCCTCTCCTTGTGTCAGGAATCTTCTTTCATTCTGTGACACGAGTCATCAGAGATCAGCCCCAATACTAATAATGGGAGAACTACACCTTTCAAAGTAACTGATATCTTTGTGTCTGTTTAAAGTTCTTTAGGATATGTACTAGGGCCTCCTTTCATTCTTGCATTGGTTATTTAGCACATGTTCTCTTAATATTCAAAGAGATCTGATCACTTTACTTTGTAACCACCCAATTTTTGGCCTTCACTGATTCCTGCACCTGCCTTTACTATGTGCCTTTTTAATCTACTTTGAGTTTATCTGGTCCTTTTCCTGACCAGAGACAAATATTTAGTGGACTGACTTTTCATACTTATACTACATAATATGCACATTTAAATATAATATATTTTTGAGCTGGGGGGGTTCTCCTCTAATCATGGGTTCAGTTATAAATCTCAAGCCTTCATTGATACACGTTTTCACTAACATTCAGATACAAGTATTTTTTTTCTCACAGCCATAAGAATTTCTTTGATATAATTAAATTTAACTGTTTACTTTGAAATAATTTTGAAGTGAAATTCGCAAAAGTACAGGCCTCACATATACCTTTACACAGATTAAGTTTTTCCAATTCTGCCTCCTCGTAACCCTGTACTGTAACTACTTAGGGCTTCAGTGTGCATTGGTAGATGTATGAATACATTCATAATTATACTAAATATAAACTTAAATATACATTCATAATTATACTAAATATAAACCTAAAAATAAGGGTGGTCTCTTACTAACACCACAGCACACTTATTAATTTTCAGTAAACTGACATTGATACAACATTGCATTGAATCCACAGGCGGTACTCCTATTGTGTCATCATCTATCTCAACAATGTCTTAATACCTTTTACCCCTCCACTGTAGGATATAATAGCCCAGGATCGTGCATCAGTACACAGCTTTCATGAGTTTTGATTGTTCTCTCAACATGGTTTTTCTCCTCACTCCTGTTTTCTAGATTAACTACATTGGGGTTATACATTTATCTTGTAGGATTCCAATCTTTAGAAATTTGAGATTTTGCTCGACAAAATTTAATAGGCCAATTAAATTTTTTTCTTTGTGAAGAATGTACATTATTACTATGTATAATGTTCCATAACCTCCATAAAGTCACTCGTTTATTGTTATTTTAATCGTACTGATCTGTTACTAATTTTTAGTTTACTTGTTTTATCAATTAAGGACACTGAAATTTCCCACTCTGGATTTATTTGAATTTTTTTATATAAGCTTATGATACATATAAATTCAGACTAACATCTCTTAGATTGAGCCTCTTACAAAGTTTATGCCTTTGAAGTATTCTGTCTGGTGTATCAGCTTGCCTTTGGTTAATCTTTGTGTGACATATCTTTTCCCATTAATCTTTTTATATAACCAAGACTGAGAAGTTTCTCATAAAAAGCAAGCAGCCAACCGCAGTGGCATAACCCACCTGTAGTCCCAACTACTCAGAAGGCTGAGGCAGGACTGCTATAACCCAGAAGTTCAAGGCCAGCTGGGGCAACATAGCAAGCAACGGTCTCAGAAACTAAACAACAAAACAAAAACCACATAGCAGATTTTTCTATTTTGTTTCTTATCTAACCTGCAACGTTCCTTATAATTTTGGACATTTTGTAAGTTTATATTTAGTATAATTATGAATGTATTCATACATCTACCAAGACTTTTTTTCTCCCAGACAGGGTGTTGCTATATCATTCAGGCTGGCCTTGAAGTTGCTGAGGTCCTATTGCCTCAGTCTCCCCGAGTCCTGCAAGTACAAGCATGCACTGCAACCCCTGCTGCCAAGACCTTTTCTCTTTAACTTATCTTTGCCTTGTTGACTTGTCTCCCTTTTCTAGCCTAGCTTTAGACACTGATTATTCTGCAGCCCCTCTCCGTTCTTGGTGGGCACATGTATTTTCACTATTGAGTGACAACAGTATGCACACCTTATCTTACCACATGACCCTTTTTACTTCTTTTTCCTAGAGTACACGTTAACCTTACACACACATACATATCACACATCAAGACAGTATTTTGCTTCCTAATGTCTTGGTTGTTCTTTATTTCTTCATGTATCTCAAGGGTTTACCAGAGATAGACTCTCTTTGTCTGAAAATGTCTTTTATTCACTCTCATTTTTAAAGGATATACTCACTGGGTATAGAATTTTAGGCCTGTGGTTATTCTTTCCATACTTTAAAAACCCTGCTTTCTTAACTATCCTGTTGGAGGTTATATGACCTTCCTGAACATGCACTAGCTGGCTCTCCTCAATAGCTGAAAGCTCTCTACCATTACATCATCTTGTCAAATACTGCCTCACTCCTATTCTCCTTTATTTCTTGGACTTGTTACATCCACGTGAGACCTTCTCTATATTTCTCACTTATCTCTTCTTCTACTTTTCAACCTTTTGTTTACTGTGCTTCATTCTGGGTATTTTCTTAATTTTCTTGTAGCTCATCAAAAATCTGTTCAACCTTTTACTAACTTACTTTCAGTCACTGTGATTTCAGTGCTATCTTCTCCATGCAGAATAGTTTTCAGTTCTCCATCCCAAGTTTCTTTTTTTTTTGGTTTTTCTCTGGTACCGGGAACTGAACTCACGACCTTGCGCTTGCCAGGCAGGCACTTTTGCCGCTGAGCTGAATCCCCAGCCCCTCCATCCCAAGTTTCCATTTTGCCTTTTATCACGTTGATGGTAAGATAGTGCTGTGGGTCTTCTCACGTTGTTTGTTGTACCTGCTAGGTTTTGCTCTCACTATCTCGTTTTCTGGCATGCTTCGTTATTTCTGTATACTGTATTTTGTTTTGCAAAGTTCTTTATTAAATGAATCTGAGGCCTAGAATGTTTTCTTTCTCCTGAGAGGATTTACACTTGATTCTACTGGGTATTTTGAAGCACCAGCAACATTATAACACAATTTTAGGTGCTGGGCTTTAGTCTTTATGAGGAACTACTTACTGCTAATTCATCTTTATTGTATAGTTACAGATTTTCAGGGTTCTAATTCAAGCCAAAAGGAAGTTAATGATTTAATGATCCATTAAATCTAAACTCTGACTTCTCAGCCTTGTGAGGGTATAAAAATACTTTTGGGGAAAAAAAAAAATACTTTTGGGGCTGAGACTATATAGCCAAATGGTCAACTGCTTGCCTAGCATGTGTGAGATCCTGGGATTGATCACTAACAATAAAAAGGGAAAAAAAAAAGAAGAACAAGCAAATGATTCAGAAGGGGAAAAAAAACCCCACCATCCTCTGTCCACATTCTAATCCAATCCTGACCCAAGAATTCTTTATTACTGTGTTAGCTCTAAAATTTCTTATACAGATGATTTGTGATCTTAGCTCATGTTTTCCACTGGTCCTCACTGGAATAGTTGACGCAAATTATCCAGTTTGCCATTACTGGGCTCACAGGCCCTTATAAGTAATTATATATGTATCAATTAATCAAACTCATAAGGTTTAAAGCAGTGGCTGCTTATTCAAATGCCTGTGAAGGTCAGATGGAGACTGCAAACAACTGGGAAACACATACCTCATCCTAAAGGGCACTAAGTTAATTTCAACCAGATGCTGACATGAAAGTATACAAAAGCTATGGTCTGCAGAAAAGCTAGAAATCTGGATTTTTAAAAAAATATATATATAAAATCTTATTTTGTAACACTAGCAACCAATTCCATATTTTGTAAAAAAGCATGTGAGCTAATGTTTCTCAACTTGGAGTGATTCTGCTCCACAGGACATCTGCCAATATGTAAAGACATTTTAAAGTCATTTTTTAATTGTCGTAACTAGAGAGAGAATGTGAGGGTGCTACTGGCAGCGAGCAGAAAGAAGTCAACGATGCTGTTAACCACACAACACACGACAGTCCCCAAAACAAAGAAGTATCTAGCCCCAAAGCTCAATTAGGCTAAACCCTGGTACAAGTCGGCATGCTACTGGCCAAACAAAACATGTATGCAGACTTCCACTTGGCTGGGTGGCAGTAGTTCTCCAGTTTGCACGATGCTGCGTTTTAAATCTATACATGTAATGGAAGATGTTGATACCTATGCTCTTTGTGTTCTAGTAGCTGACAGTCCCGACATGTCAGTTTGTCACACGTCTCACAATAAAGCTTCAACTGCTCCTTTTTATGAAAAGGACAAAACACTGGTCTCTGACTAGTCACACCAACTGCCTCTGCAGAAACAATGGGAGGCAAAGAGAAGAAAATTAATACAATTAAATATTAAATAATTATTATATTGTCTGTTTGCACTCAAATCCACTAAGATAGAAGTACTAGTTTAGTCTACAACCTAACTCCCCTAGGTATTACAGATATTACAATAGTAAATATGTTCAGCATTTTATAAGAAAGGGTAAAAGAGCTTTTCACTTTTATATATATTTTACCAAAAATTTTAAAAATCTATGAATTTAGGGGGCTGGGGATTTAGCTCAGCGGGACAGAGCCTGCCTGGCAAGCATGAAGTCACAAGTTCAATTTCTGGTAGCCCTCAAAAAAAAAATCTATGAATTTAATATTAAAAGCAACATAATGAAAGCCTAGATATGTAACTTTTGTGCAATTAATAAAAAGCTTCTTTTGTTATCTATATAACAAGCAAATACCTCAAAGTGGATTTCCAATAAGAGTGTCAGAAGGAAGAGTTATAAACATTTAGGCTCATGCCTTGTATCTTTACAAATTAAAAAACAAAAAAGACAGCAAGTAAAAAAAAAAAAAAAATTGCTCTACAGTTACGTAAAATTAAGGCATCAGAAGAGTTGGGAGTGTAAATGTAAAGCATTATAAGTAAATTCCAATTGTAATACTGACTACTTTGCATTGAAAAGAGTACATTTAATGTTTACTATTGCTCACAATTAGTCAATATAGTAAAGTGGAAAATACAGTAAGAGAGAGAGAAGAAAAAAGGAAATGAAATAATAGATTTATTACCTGGAGATACTTCCTCTTTCTGTCTAACAGTATGGTCTTTTGTGAATTTCACCCTCTGATGAGCTCTAATACATGTCTTACAAAGCCATTCAACACACTCAACACAAAACCCATTAGCTTCTGCATTGTCTTCACAGCTTGTGCATACCTGATAATTTAAAGAAAAACATGTCAGGTACATATCTGAGAAAAATGAAAAGCTTATCATACCGCTAGTCAATAGTATTTATCAGTTTCAACTGACATTATGTGCTAAATTATATGCTGTGAATGGAAACAAACATTAGGTATATTTCTTATTATTTCAATATACTAATTATTCCAGGCACTGTGCTAGGTGTTGAAGCTACAATAATTAGGAAAAGCAAATAGTTCCTGCCCTTGTGATACCTACAGTCTCACATATGCAGAAGAGGTTCAAATCCCTTCTCCCACTGACTAGTGAGTGGACTTGGGCAGGCTAGAGTGCTCATCTTTACAATGAGGATAACAGTACAGATTTTCCTGAGTGGTTACAAACATTCAATTGGTGGCAAATACACATTATCAGAAAAACCACACTAATATGTTAACTACTGAGAAGGAAATAGTTGAGAAGTTATAAGAGCATATTTATGATGGGGAAACTGCTGTAGCTGTAGTAGAGTTGGAAGGCAGCTAAGGCAAGAGGAGAGATGACCCAGGGAAAGCTTTTCCTAAAAAGATCCTCTTAGTAACCAAGATATGAAAGCTGAAACAACAAACTACAAGATGAAAAGCTTTCTAGGCAGAATAAAAGGCTGCAAGCAAGGACAGCATGGAAAACTTAAGAACTGAAAAAAAGGGAGCCAGGTGTGATGACATGTGCCTGTGATCCTAGCACTTGGAAGGCTGAGGCAGGAGGATCACCAGGAGTTCAAGGCTACCCTGCACTATAAGGCCAGACTGAACTATATAGTGAGACCCTGATGCAAGAAACCAAAAAGAACTGAAAGGAAAGAAGTATGACTGAAGTGCAGAGATCAATGGGAAGACTAGCAGAAGGAGCTTGTGGCAAGGCAGGCAGGGACCACACAGAGCAGGGTCACAGACAATGGTGGTCCCTGTTCATAGAAGCCTAAGGGCTTTTAAGAAAGTAGCATGGCAAGATTTCATTTCAGAACCACTTTGCTGCAATGTGGAGAGCAAGACAAACTATAAGGTTTTCCAGGGCTTCAGTGAGAGCTGATGGAAGTGCAGACGAGAAGAGAATGAATTTGGGGAGATTCAAGAAACAAAACTTGTTTGAATGATGCAATGGGTATGGGTGATGAGGAAGAGATAGCACCTGTATTTCTTTTTTTGTTGTTGTCTTTTTGAGAAAGGGTCTCACTATGCAGTTCAGGTTGGTCTTGAACTCACTTTGTAGCCCAGGTTGGTCTCGAACTCACAATGATCCTCCTGCCTCAGCCTCCTGAGTGTTGGGATTACAAGCGTGCACCACCACACCCTGTATTTCTATCTGCAGTAACTATGAAAATGTGGCATATTACATTTACTACCTACAGGGAGTTCTTGTTAACCTCCATGGTTTTTGTTTTTCATTATTAATTTTTTTCTTTTGAGACAAGGTTTCACTTTATAGCAGGCTGGCCCTGAACTCACTATATAGCCCAGGCTGGCCTCATAATTACAGCAATTCTCCTGCCTTAGCCTCCTAAGTGCTGGGATTACAAGCATCACACTATCATGCCTGGCTAGTTTTTGTTACCTTATTTGGGGCTGGGAAGAAAAGAATTTTCTCTTCACTCAAAGATTGCCAAATTCCAGTTACTTGGATAACAGGTCTATAAACCAAAATCCACCATTTCTCAGCTTGAATTATCTTCAACCTTTCTAATACTGTTGGATACTACTGATGCCTACTTCCTGTAAATCACATGCATACTTCGCTATCTTCCAATCCTCACCTCCCTGAATGTCCCTCTGGATCCCACCTAGTACTCTCCTTCCTCTGATTCTAGAGATTTCTGTTGGATCTGGGAGTTGACCTCATTTACTTCCTTAGCCTCAACTATTCCCCCATATAAAAAATTACCTAAAAGCCTATCTCCGCAGCAGGCTACAAAAAAGTAATGAATGTCCATATACACTGCTCAGGGGGTTTCTCTGGTAAAAAAGCAAATTAGAAAATGCTTATTTAAGGACAGATAAAGCAGGATGATTTAAGATTATATATGATATTAACAACACAAGAATAAACTACAAAAGCATAGTTTATCTATAAGGCAGGGAGGAAATAAGGTAGATGGGTACGTAAGACAGGAACAGAAGTTTTGTGAATATGTCCTGCTTCAGAGATATTATTTTTAGGAGCCCATGAATGCTTTACAAGTAGTTGTACACATATAAATTTTACAAATTAAAATTCTACACTGAGGATGTAGCTCTGTGCTACATTTATCTTGGAGAAGTGATACATATACATGTTCTATCTTAATCAGTTTTTACTTTCCCCACCCTCTGCTGTATCCCCTTTCCCATTTCTACAAAGTCTACCTCCCCATTTCCTACCATCTCTCTTTTATTTGTCTTTAAATTATTTCTATTTTGGGTTTCTCATATGAGAGAAACCATGTGATAAACAGCCTAGTGTATGTGAGGCCCTGGGTCCAGGGCCCCAATACCAACAAACAAAGACCCTAAATACTGAAACATAAAAAAAGAGGCTTAACTACATACATGCACAAAAAATTGTTACAATTTTAAAACATAATTTTATTGAATACCTCCAGTACATGTATGTAGCAATTGCTGTCTTTCTTGCTTTCTGTTTTTTGAGAACACTACAATTTCCTCTCAGCTCCAATAGCACTTTGCTGTATGCTATTATTCTGCAAGCCATACTCATCCTTTACAAGTTCCTAACAATGAATGCTGCTGGAAGGAAACAGTGATGCCAGAGGAAGAAACCTGACCCTTGAGGTCAGCTTTCTGCTTAGGATTCTGTGCGTACCACTCCAGCCGCTGCTTCTTCCCCACAGCAGCAGTTCCTTCCTACAGCAAGTTAGCTCTAGTTTGCAAAGCTTCCAGTACCTGTATAACCAGCTTATTTCACCCTACTTCATACCAGTACCAAGGTGTCAGAAGCCTGGGTCCTAAGCTAAACATTCAGATCCTGGTCCCAGCCAAACCGGCACCTCTCCCTCAGTGTTTGAGGTGAAGTTCCACAATGCCTTTCCTTTAAGTGTGCAACACTTACTAATGCCAGCCTTCTGGCTTTGTTTCTTCAGAGTCCTTCCTTAGTTGCTACCTCTGTGATACTTTTTAAGAATTTTCTTCTAAGGCCAATAAATCCGACACTGAAGGCTGAGCATCATATGGCTTCTCTTATATGAAAAACTCAAAACATAAATACTGTAAAGAGCCAAATGAGGCCGGGCATGGTGGCACACGCCTGTAATCCCAGCACTTGGGAGGCTGAGGCAGGAGGATCATTGCGAGTTCAAGACCATCCTGGGCTACAAAGTGAGCTCAAGGGCAGCCGCGTCTGCCTGGCAAGCTCCAGAGTTCGGTTCTGGTTCCCGGAAAAAAAAAAAAAAAAAAAAAAAAAAAAAAAAAGCCAAATGAAAGAGAGATGACAGGAAATGGGGAGGCAGACTTTGTGGAAATGGAAAAGGGAGGTGGACTTGGGGGAGATGGGAAGGGGATGTGGGCGCAGTGAGAGGGCAGGGCTAGGAAATAGAGTGATTAAAATACCACACGTACATGTATCAATTCCCCAAGATCAATGTAATTATTATGCATCACAGATATACACTAATAAAAATATGTATTTTTTCAGAAAACAACTTTATATCTAGTTAACAAATTTTAAAAATTAAAATGTGTCCTTACTGCATCAAGACTAACATCACATAACCTACAATATCCTAGAGAGTATCATTGTCCCTGTCATTAAGAACAAAGATTTCCAGTATAAAAGAGATCCAAATGTAAATCAAGGAAATAAAACCCCGTAAGTCTAAATACGTCTGGGGAAAGAAGACCAAGCCAATGGCACTGAGAACATTGTACCCATGTGGTGGTCTCACAAACCAATGTTTTTGAGGGGGGCAGGGGGCATGCTGAGAACTTATGAACCAAGGGCCTCTTACATGCTCACTTTATAGTGTAATATACCCTGGGCCAGTTTCCATTCTTCAAATCTGGTGTCATAACTATTAGAATGTTTATCCTCTGCAGTAAGCCAGAGGAAAAATTGTTTTGGCTTAGGGAAAACTGTGAGTACTAGTGAAAGAACACAAAGAATTTAATTAGTAATGACAATGTTAATTTATAAAGTGAACCTTGAATTACCATAGTTCAAGAAACAAAAAGTACAGAAATTTGCACTGCATACCTCAAAATTCCTGATAAATAAAGTCAATGATCATTTTTCTCTTAACAGATTTAACTGCTTCTTAGGTCTTCTGTTCCAAGTTAAATAAACTGCCTACATCAATGATGGTGAACCTTTTAGAGCTTTCAATGATGAGAGCCCATCGTGGCACACATGCCAGTTTCAGCACCACTGTGCTAGAGGCATCATCAATGAATCAAGACTCCCAAGGAGAACAATATACTAGAGTCAGCACATGCCTGGTTAACCCCTGCTAGAGTGCCAGACCTTATCCTTAGAGATCTGACATCTCAATTTAAGAGGTCAATAAAAATGTTCTACATGTGAGTTACAAAAGTAGTAAAGAAAAGCAAGATTCCATTAGATCTCTAAATCCAACACCTGTGGTACATAGCTACAATCTCAGCAGCAGGAGGGAGGCTGAGGAAGAAAAACTCAAGGGGTAGGGGGGCCTAACACCTGGACAATGCTACCAAATGAGGCTTTCAAAGTAGTATCATGTAGCTGGGCATGGTGGTACATGCCTTTAACATAGTACCTGATAGGCTGAGAAGGAAGATCACTGCCTGTTCCAGACCAGCCTGGGCTATATAGCGAGACCCCATATCAAAACAACAACAACAAAACCCAATACCATATAGAAAAGAGGACTTACTTAAAAATGTAGAATATTAACTCATCAAGATATATGGTATTTTCCATATGCATCATTAAACAATTCATCATCAACACACAAAAAATGAAAAAAGGAGATAGAAATAAAAATCTAATCAACAATGCACAGCAACTAAGTAAAAGAAATAGAATAATGATGTCAAATAATGTCTTTCTTTGGAGCGTGAGGGGAAAGCAGGGCTGCAATGAGGAACTTCTGTCCTGACCCTGTTTTATTTCTTAAGCTTAACTATTCATTGATATTTTTTAAAATTATTACGTGACTTCATAGATGAATGGCCTGAAGTCTGGCTCCTTGCATAGTTGAGCTCTGCACATTTTTAGGCTACCTCATCACCAGGCGAGAAAAGGCTCAGTATATATACACTTACCTGATTAGACTTTTCCACTGTACTGCTGGGAACCTCAGTAGTGTCCTTCACAAAAAAATTATCTATGATGTGTCTCTCGGCACATTCTTGGCTGCAAATTGGGCATCGAATGACTCCAACTAGGAAAGACAAAGCAACATTCTATATTGAGTATGAACCAATACATATCAACTCTTAGTTTTTTCATAGAGTCCACTAATGGAGACTACCCTGAGTGAGCTACAAAGCCATGAATTGGCTTTGTACATTAAAAGTCTGAGTCAGTCCTAGGCCTATGTGCCTTGGCTGATGAGCCAGCGGTTGGCATGTGGAAACAGAACTCCCTGTGCCACTGGTCTCAGAGGAAGTCTCTATGGCCAGTGATGCTGCTAAGTCTTGAAGGAAAGAGAATATTTCAGCTGAGAACTTTATGGCTCTCATACAAAATGCTACAGAAGTAAATATTAACCCATGGGAAAAACAAGCTTCTCATTAATCAGTGGCATAACACTTTGTTTCTTATTGGACCTGGCTCGTGGCAGTGTGCTGAACTCCTCTCTTACAAGGATTTTCCTAGAAAAAACCCCCGGAAAAGCTGTGTGCACTCAATAAAGAGTGAAGAGTTGGGAGATTGTTGGTCTGAGCCTGTTAAGAGCTCTGAGCCTCTGGACCCCCTAGTGCATTCTAAATTATTGTCTCTTTTATTGTTCATTACACCCTTGCCCAGGGTATAATTAGGGCTCTGAAGTGCCTTATACAGGGACTTCTCCAGCCTGGATGAGTGAAGACCACCTTGAGTGGATGCTGAGAACTGAGATGCTGCAGGATTTCGTGGGACAAATACGAAGACATCCAACGAAGGACCAAAAAGAAAAAAAAAGGTTAGTGCTCCCACCATGAACACAAACTTTCTCATCCAGAGCTAAATATGGGGCAGAATTTGTCGGCAGAGGAGCAACAATACGTACAGCTGCTCTGCATTTTATTAAAGGAATCTGGTGCCCATGTACCCACTAACAATTTGTCCAAAATGTAACAAGAAGTGATTAAATTCAATCCTTGGTTCTCTCAAGCAGGCACCTTAGAAACTAAAAACTAGAAATGTGTGGTAGAAAATCTTAAGAGTCCACAGGAGGGGGGAGGGTCTCTCTTGAGACCTTTGCCACATGAACTCTTCTTCTATCCGTGGTAAGCTCATTACAAAATGAGCTGCTGGCAGCCACAGCTCTCAGGGTTAAAAACAAAAAACAAAAACACAAAAAAACCACTAAAAGTAACAAGTGCAGCAGCTCCCTCTTCTGAGGGCAGGAAATCAAACCTAGCACCTCCCTGGCTTGTTCTTCTCAGGAAGAGTGCACACAAACTGACAGTGAAGGGGATTTTCCCTGGTCGTCACCACCAGAGGTGCCTGGGGAAAACCCAGCTCACCCCAAAGCCCTGAAAGAAAGCTACCTTGATACCTGCAGATTTTAAAAGGCAGCCACAGCCTAGGGAGAAGTTTTTGGCGCCCCTGACTGCTTTCTGGTGGGTACCCAACCGAACTCCAAATGATGAGAATCACCCCTTACATGTTTATGTACCTTCTGAACTTCAACTGTTAAAGGACTTATTCCAAGTGTGATTAGTAACTGTGCTCAGAGTCCGTTTACATCAGGGCTCTTGGAGAGTGTCCTAGATTCATATCGCTTGACTCCTTATATCAAACATCTAGTAAAGACATGCCCGTCTCTCACTCAATTTCTTCATTTTATGTGCAATTTAAAAACCTGTTGTGGAACAGGTCCAAAAGAATACAACAGGCCGGGGTCCCCACGGGTATATAGATGAAGAGATGCTTTCTGGAATGGGGCACGTACACCCCCGCCCTTGAGGAACAGACGCAATACCTTGCAGAAGAATATCAGCAATTAACTGATTTGATGAAAAAGGTGCGGGTACAGTCCCTGAGGATGGGGATCCTGCCCAATCATTTTTACACATTCTCCAAGGCCCAAATGAGTCTTTTACCCAATTTGTGGCCAAATTACAAGAGGCTGTGTGAAGACAAGTTTCTAACACCCACACTACAGATACTTACTCCTCTAATTGGCCTATGCCAATGCCAACCAAAATTGTAAACAGGCCTTAAATCCAGTAAAGGGAACTAATGATATAAAGACATACATCTGAGCTTGCCAAGATATAGGCACTGAATTATATAAAACTAATTTGATGGCCAAGGTTATGGCAGGTTTTGCTAAAGGGACTAAAGGCAATAAAGGTAATGATAAATGTTTCAATTGTGTTAAAATTAGACATGTCTGTAAAAAGTGCAAGGTCTTGCTCAACCTGGGTGGGCCAATGCTGTGGTTACGCAGCTGAAGAGGATAATGCCTCCGGCCAAGATGACTCAGGTGCCCCACCCAATCTCTGCCCTTGCTTCATGAGAGGGTGGCACTGGACTAAGCATTGCTGATCTAAATATCATAAGGATGGGATGCTTCCAACAGAAACGGGGTCCAGGTCTTGCCCCAGGCCCCCCACCAAATGAGAAAAATGACAAATAAACAATGCCAATCAGATCCTTGCTCAGCTTTATCCAACTCAGACCCTATCAGCAACTTCAACAGCCACAGACACGGCTCCTCTTCCCTCACTAGGGGAACAGCCCAAATCACAGGCTTAGACCATGCTGTGGCACAAAGAGTGACCCTTATTGGAGGAAATAAGCCCACTCATGTCCCTTTGGGAGTATGGGCCCCATCTCCAAAGGGACAATAGGGCTTATTTTGGGTAAAGCTGATTTAAACTTACAAGAAGTAACTACTCTCCCAAGCCTTACTGATCAAGACTGTTGTGATGAAATTCAGGTTTTTGCTTGTGCTCAAAATATTTGGGTTTTTGAACAGGGTGATGAGATTGCACTATTGGTTTTACTGCACTATTGGTTTTGTTGCACTTATTAGTCTTCCTGTGTTAAATATAGACAGGTCCAAAGAAAGTAAGACCCTAATAAAAAGGTTACCAAAAGGAAATTTATTTTACTAAAGAAGTACCTAGAGGGCTGGGGATTTAGCTCAGCGGCAAAGTGCCTGCCTGGCAAGCACAAAGTCGTGAGTTCAGTTCCCAGTACCAGAGAAAAACCAAACCAAACCAAACAAAACAAAAAAAGTACCACCTAGAGAAAGGCCCATGTGTTTTGTAAAAATTAACAGAAAATATTTTGAGGGGCTTATAGACACAGGTGCAGATGGCTCTGTATCAATGGACCACCCCTAACTCCTTGGTAGGACCGGGGTCTCCACAATGTCTCACAAAGTGCCTCTCTTTTACCTTATAAAGGACCTGATCAACAACAGGATCTTATCTTACATTATGTGGCTCCTATACCTGTCAATTTATGGGGTCTGCTACAGAAAAGGAAACTAATTTTGACCATAAACAGGGTCTAAGGCACAGCATATAATGAAAAAAATGGGTTTTCAAAATGGTAAAGGAGGGGGCTGGGGATTTAGCTCAGCGGCAAAAGTGCCTGCCTGGCAAGTGCAAGGTCGTGAGTTCAGTTCCCGGTACTGGAGAAAAACCAAAAAAAAAAAAAAAAAAAAAAAAAAAATGGTAAAGGACTAGTAAAAAACTCAGAAGGATTCATTGAGCCTGTTATCTCAGTTCCTAAAAATGATAAACACGGCACTGGCTATCAGTCACATTTTTAATGTGGGGCTACTGTTGCTTCTCCCCCTAAAACCGCTTTACCTTTACAGTGGAAACAGATTCACCCATATTGGTTGAGCAATGGGCCCTTAAACAAGAGAAACTTAGTCCATTATATAAAATGACTACAGAACAATTGCAGTTAAAACATTCAGAATCCTCTGTTATCCCCTGGAATACACCTACTTCTGTTATTCCCAAAAAATCAGGTAAAAGGAGATTATTACAAGATCTAAGAGCTGTAAATGTTTGCTTGCTACATAGGGGGGCACTACAACCAGGACTGCCCAATCCAACTACATTCTCAAGATATTGGCCCTTAATAGTAATTGACTTAAAAGATTGCTTTTTAAATATTCCTCTTTATCCAGTAGATAGGAAGCACTTTGCCTTTTCTGTGCCTAGTATAAATTATAAAGAACCGAAAAGTGTTATCAGTGGGCACTCTACCACAAGGTATAAGAAATAGCCCCACCTTGTGCATTTTTGGTAGCACAAGCCTTAGGAATCAAACTCTTCTGCTTATATTATTCATTATATGGATGATATACTATGGGCTGCACCCAATAGACAACAACTTTATGAGCTATTTGCTGAAACAAAGCAAGACTTCATAACTTTGGTCTCTGTATTGCACCAGATAATGTTCATTTTTCAATTTTTTCTTAAATTGAAAAATTTAACTTTTTCTTAATTGAAAAAATTTTTAATTTTTTAATTGAAAAAATTTTCAATTTTTTCTTAAACATTCATGTATTATTCCAAAAATTGCTAGGCTTGAACCCATTTATCTGGCCCCTATTATCTGGGAACATTAGTGACCAACAGAGCGGTAAGGCCATAAAAACTACAAATCAAATGTGATCGTCTAAAGATTTTAAATGATTCTAAAAAATTATTATGACATACTGGATACAGCCAAAATTGGGTATTACCAACTATCAATTAAAAAAATCTACATGATACCTTACAAGGAGACCCATCTACTGATGGCCCTCATCTTCTGAGGCACAAAAAGAATTAGCAATTATTGAAAAAAATGTTACAACAGCATCAAGTTTTTAGAATAAATATAAACTATCTCCTTATTCTTTATATATTAGATGCACTTCATTCTCCTACAGGCCTTATAGGACAGTTTTGTGAAAAGGAGATATGCCCTATTGAATGCCTATATGTAAAACAAATTGCTAAAGTTGTCACCTTGGGCAGGATAAGGCCTAAACAGCTCTTTGGTATTGATCACACAATGATTGTATTACCTACTGATTTAAATCAATATTTGATTCTGTTACAAAAAGGCCTAGGGTTTTTTTTTTTATTTTAAAAATAAAAGGAGGAAAATATTAACAGACAGTCGACATTTTACAAAATAGCAAAGGAACAGTACAGACAGTACAGAGTTACAAACAGAGTGGTAGGGAATTAACAATGCTTGTTGTATTACATA